ACCTAACCTATTAATAATGCCATACTCGATCGAGTTTGGTAAGAATGGTTTTGGCCACACAAATAAGTGTTACATTGTTATAGCACAAAAAAAAAAATTACAATTATATTTGAATTGATTGTTAAAAATAATTAATATTTATAAATATTATTATTTAATAATTTAAAATTAATTTATTATTGATATTTTTAAACATATTAATTAATTAATTAATATAAAATAATAAAACCATACAAACTAATCTTAATTTTGATATTACAGCTAGGTGGACTTAGAAACGAGTTTGGTGGTCGTGATGTGCAATACAAAACTCGTGCGAATTACAACAACTGAGTTACCAACCACTCACCTCCAGTTATAATTTACCACGTGTCGACAAAAGGAGCTAACAGTTCCTCGTGGGTAATTATCCATAAACCTACTTCGATCGGGTTCCGATGAGATCTCCGATCTCCGCACTTCTTGGAAATGTGGTTGGTTGGTTGATTGACTGACAGTGAGGAGTTCTTATAAACTTATCTTTGCAGAAAAGTTACGTAATTATTTTGAATTTCATCTGAGTCCCTGGCTGGCTGCGGGTGAAGTTATGAAGCGATGGGGTATGGTGTGGACCGAAGGGGTTGGTGGTATAGTGTATAATCCGTTCATGGTGGCATTAATGGGACCCTGCAGTAGGTAGCATCATTTGGTAGTCAAATATTAATACTAAAAGAAAAATTAAAATGCTTAATTAATTTATAATTAATTTGCTCAATGCACACTAGCAGCCCCCGTGCAAATGTCATCATTACTTCATTCTTTTTTACATGTAATTAATTATGACATTTTTTTTACAATATTATAAACATAATATCACATAAAATTATAAAATTATAAATATAATATTAAATAAATATATACATATAATATTATGAATAAAATTTTAAATAAAAAATAAATTATATATACAATGACATATTATATTATAAATTTATAATATTATGTGAGGTTATAATTATATTATGTTATTTTTTTATTGCTTTATATCTTACTTCCTCTCTTCTACTTGTTTTATTAAGCATTTAAGGAATTTTTTTAATTTAATTTTAATTATTTGTTTAACTTTTAGTAAAATTTTAATTAACCATCTTCCTATTTTACCTTCCAATATCACTTATCTCTTTCATTTTCATTTTCATTGAAATAGAGTAAGGGTTAAATTTTAAAAGAATAATTTAGTACTTTAAATAAATCTATTCTTAAAATCAAGAACAATTGATTAAAATTTCCTTAATTCTAATTCTTCCTCTCAAAAGGACTAGAAATGTGAAACAGAGAAGTATAAAATATTATCGGTCCAATATACTATGTCAATCGTATAACAATTGCATCAATATTAAAGCCTTTTCTTTTGATAGATCATGCTATGAGTAAATTGTTTTTTTTTAAGATTAAAATAATTTTATTTTTATTTTAAAAATAATTAATTTTAATTTCTTTAATAATTTTATAATATATTTAAATTGATAGATATAGAAAAAAAAGAAAGAGAGGCGAAGCAATCCGTCTCTTTAATTATAAAAAAATTTAAAAGGTGGGGGAGGAAAAAAATCCTTTCACTTTATTTTTTTAAATTCATTTATATATCTAAACAAGAAATTTGAAGGAAAGAGGAATGAATATCCCTCCCCTCCTTTCTCTTTTTCGCAATTCAATCATACATACTGTTAAAATTTTTTTTTTTCTAGTTCTATCAAGATCTCGCTAATGAATATTATTATTGTCGTATTTAGAATGATTCGTTCCGACTCCAATGATATTGGATTTTGGGTTAAAATTATTTATCTCCATGAATAACATGTTCAAGTACCATGAAATTCATTTTTCTCTCTCCATATATACTTGTAAATAATGTCAAAATTATTCTTTAAAAAAATTACTGTTCATATTTAGATATATCATTAATTAATGTGGGATTGTTTGATTTGCTGAGCACCATCCAATGTCCCCCACTAATACATGCCATTGCCTTATTGGGAGAAGCAGTAATTGTATTGTACTGGCTTTCTGTTGGCGGCTTCATACCCGTCAGAAGACTAATTGCATTTTCCATTGGCCGCATACGGAGATTATTTTTGTTTTCCTATTTTATCCTCTCTCCCCATCCCTTCAATCATAGCGTCACGTTGCATATGCCCAACTACCCACCTTCCCCTCCACCTCTCCCCTTTTACCATTCTACCCTTTCATTTTCCTTTCCAAATACTGTATCATTTATAACTTTTTAACTCACAAGTGATTCAACAGTAAAAAATTTAAAATTTAAAATTAAACATTTTAAATTTGAGTTTTGAATTTAGAAGTAAAAATTTAAAAATAAAGAAAAATTACATTTTCATATATAATTTATAATTAAATGTATCAAAAAAAATTTGGCACTCTTGTTCATATTTATTTGTTCTTTTAGAATAAATTTTTGTACTGGTAATTTTAAATAATATAAATAATAATTAAAATTTTTATTAAAGTTAACTTAATAAGAACTAAGATTATGTATGTATATTATTTAATTATTATATAAAAATATTATTTAAAATTACATATAAGATTAATTATATAAAGATAAATAATGGGCTCTGAGGGGTTCATGGTAACTCATTAATCTTAATAAATACAAAGTTAGTGAGTTTTTAAAGCAATTGAGTTCATTTTCTAAATGAGTTGAATTTTGAACTCCATTTTGAGCTCAATTGAGGCTAAAGCTAATAGACATAGGTTTTGTTTAAAAATGTTTCTCGATTGTTTTAATTTTAAGTTTTTTTTTTGTCTTTTTATTGTGTTAAAAATATATGAAATATTAATTAAAATAAATATTAAATATATTTTATATATTTTTATTATATTAAAAGATCAAAAAACTTATAATTATAGGTACAAGGCAGCACTCTCAAACCAAGTAATAGTTTACTAAAATTGTTCTCTTATCAAGATAGCAATGAAGATTAGAAATGGTGTTACAAACAGCAATTCACACCACTCCTTATTATGGGGTCAACAAATTTAGTTTTTGCATTTCAATTGGGTTCGAACTGCAAACTCCAACATGCAACATCTATCCTTTTAAAAGTTAAAAGCTTCAATCAATTTTTAAAGTATATAAAGATGCCTTTAAAAAATTGACAATTTACATATACTCATAAAATTGGTCATCCAAATTTTAGATGCTCATATTGCCAAAAAAGAAGAGTTGAGGGTGTTGGAACTTAAATATTTTAATATAAAATATAAAATATATTTTATAAATTAAATTTATTATTTTATTAAAAACTTGATCAAATTAGTTGTTATATGTTAATTGTTTTATTTAAAGGCATATTATTTTATAATAATTACTCAATTTATTCATATCATTAACCTACAAATGAGAGTTATAAGATCATAAGTCTTATAAATAGTACATGTTTATTACTCAAAAAGAAAGGTTCTTTCACATTCTCTTATTTTTCTTATTTTACTTTATCTTCTAAATATTTTTTTTAGTAAATAAAGGTGTTTTGAGTAAGATGATTCTATTTATAAAATTGTATTATTTTGGGACAACATGCTATATATATCTCTATTGTATTAGTTGATTTACTTTTCGCAGATGTGTGAATTGTCTTAAAGTAAGTAGGTTTTTCATGTTTATTTTGATGATATTTTTTTATCAATATTTCTTGATAAATTAACTAATTATTATTTTATTTGATCTTGTGATTGAAGTACAATAATGATATGATGTGGAGATGGAGAAAAAATTCGAGGAACAACAGAGGGATCATATAATAATGTTGCCATCGCTAATTTCTTTTTTCATCAAATTTTTTTAACAATATACTAAATTAATATTAAAAAATTTTAACTTAATTTTTTTTAAATTTCAAATATCAATTTAAAATATTTAAATTTAATAAGTTGTGGATTTTTCATGTTAGTTTTGATTTTTAATTATTAATTTTAATCATTTAAGTTTTAAACAAAAAAAAAACAACAAATAATGTTAATAAACCACTCCTAAAATTACTTTATTAATATAATCTCTAGTGATAATCATCTTCATTCTCTTTCCTCACTCAACTAATCCAAATATAAATATTTCAAAAAGGACAAAACGTTATATTCGTATCTGGGAAGATAAGATAAGCTTATTTGAAAATGATCTAAAATCTTTAACTACTATAAAAAAGTAAGTCAAGTAGACTTGATTAAAAATAAAACCTCTATTATCAAAAGGATCAAAAAAATAAAATAAAATAAAATAATACATTTTTTTCTCTTTACTTACTCCACTTGTGAAAGTATACATATATTCTACTAATAAGAACAAAGTGTTAATTATACTACATGAGAAGAGAAGATAAATTTATCTGAAGATAATCAAAGTCAGGAAGACTCGGCTAAAGATATAACCTCCGTGCTGTTCAAAAAAAAAAAAAAAAAAAAAAAACCGTCCGTTACTAAAACCTAAAAAGTTCAAGATAAACTGTCGAAGAAAACTGGAAAATCCCAAATACGACGTTTGGTTTGAAGGGCATATTCGTCATTTAAGAAACCAACAGTGCAACATCCAATGGTCTTTTTTCGTCCTTTTCTTTTATTTTCCTAAAAAGGAATCTAAAATTAACCATTTACAAAATTTTTTAACCCTTTCCTTTTTAACCGCGAGACAGGTTTTGCGGAGGCTCGGTGCCGAACCCAAACCTAAAACAAAAAACCTGATAAAAGCCGCAGCCTCCCCCAACCAAACCCACTGCGGGGCCCACCATGAGCGGCTGTCGCGTGCCGCATAGGCCGACTAATACGTGGCGGTTTCTGAAATACTGAGCTGTCACGTCACTGGGGAAAAATTTATTAACAGAAGGCTAATTATGTAACTTCAATCACTTCCCCTTGTGGTCCCCACACAACCTTTCCAAACCATCTTACTCTCTCTCTCCAGCCATCTCCTTCTATAAATGAACTCCCCATCCTCCTTATAGCTTCGTGAAGAGAACGCTAGAGGTCCTGCCGCTGCTCCTCCTCCTCCTCCTCCTCTTCCTCCTCTGGTTGGTCTACTCTTCTTCGTCTTTTTTCTTCCTCATTTTCGATTTTCTTTCCGTGTCTCGTATTTTTTATCGTTTCCGTACTATTATAAGTTCGATCTTTGGGAATCTGTACGTGATAAGGATTTTTTTCGGTGATTATACAGAATCTGTATTTGATTGTTTCAAGGATTTCTGTTTGAGAAACTGGATTTTTTATGTTCGAAACTCTCTCCAGAACCAATCAGAAAGTCTTCTTCTTTTGTTTTTTTCCCCAAATCTATCCGTTTGCGTCCATCTTCTCAGTTAAACAGTCTGGTGAGGCTGAAATCGTGAGTTTGTAAGTCCGATTTGTTCTCATTTTGTGAGATAAGGATCAGAGGAACCGACTGGAAAATTTCCTTTTTGTATCAGATCTTCCGTTATCTCTAGATCCGGTGTTCTAGTTTTGTTTGGATTGAAATCGGCGGATCTCAAGGAGTTACCATGTTTTAAAAAATTTATTAAAAATTTTAATTAATTTAAACAAAGCAAACCGGTGTGGCATATTTCGATAATGTCGGCGGCGACGTCTAGTTCTCCGCTGCAGCTCCGAAACCATTCTTGTGGACTTCCTTCTCTCCGCAAATCCTCCATTGCTCCTCAATTGAATGTAACCTCTTTAAACTACCGGAAAACCCGAGCGGGGCGATGTTTTGCTGTGAGACAGTCAACGCTTCTGGAGAAGAAGTTCTTGGGGACTCGATTGCGTGGGTCTGGATCCGAGAAGCAACACATATGGCAATCGGACGGGCCAGGACGGGCTCCAAAGCTCCATGTTGTTGTTCGCTCCTCATTGTCCGGGGTGCCGGAGAAGCCGCTCGGTCTCTACGATCCTTCTTTCGACAAGGACTCTTGCGGGGTGGGGTTCGTTGCTGAATTATCCGGCGAAAGTAGCCACAAAACGGTATGTATCATTCGAGAATACTCCCCCTCGGTAGGATTTCAGCTTCACAATCTAAATTATTTATTATTATTTATTTATGGTTTTATTAGATAGTGGATGCTTTGGAGATGTTAGTACGGATGTCACATAGAGGTGCTTGTGGTTGTGAGACAAACACCGGAGATGGAGCAGGAATTCTTACGTCGATCCCTCACGAGTTCTATTTGGAGGCATGTTAATTTTCTATCTTTTTCCTTTTCTATCTCTTTATTGATTTTAATTCAAAACTCAACTAGTCATTTTGCTGATTAGTTCTTGAGAATTTAATTATTTTCCTGATTTTATCTACATATAAACAAATTCTTTTTTGGGGTAAAATTTTTAGGTGAAATTATTATTATTATTATTATTATTATTTTGCAGAAGCTTTCAATGATTATTTGGTGAAAATGTGTTAATCTTGATGATTGACTGATGTTAAAATGGTTATGATCAGGTTACTAAAGATGTTGGTATTAGTCTACCACCAGCCGGGGAATATGCAGTTGGCATGTTCTTTCTGCCTACATCAGACAGCCGAAGGGAAGAAAGCAAAAATGTTTTCACCAAGGTGAGTTCTAGACTAGGCAGCTGATCTCTTTGAATTGTTATGAGGTGACTTTGATAACTGACAGAAGTTTAATATGTGTCTAGCAAGTCAACTGATAGGTTTTATTTTGATCTCCAGTTAGTTTATATACTTCAATTTGAACAAAATCTACTTTCTACTGCTTATCCTCTTTTTCCACATACATAATTTTGTGGTACTGTTTAATTCAGTTAAACAAGAGAAGAGATGTTCATCCAATCATCCTCTCTCAGTTTCCAATTAAGCATATTTCATGGATTCATCTTTGCATCTTGACACTCTGTAGCTTCCAGTGTATCATAATGTTACATAACCCTCTCCAGCATAACACTGAACAATAGACTGTCAGTGTTAGCATAAGTCATGCATCAGCTTATTTTTATTTTTATTTTTATTTTTTAAGAACATTTTTGAGATTTGTTTATACTACCTGGCAGGTTGCTGAGTCCCTTGGGCATAAAGTGCTTGGTTGGCGTTCTGTACCAACAGATAATACGGGATTGGGCAATTCTGCATTACAGACAGAGCCTGTGATTGAACAAGTGTTTATTACTCCTTCCCCAACCTCAGAAGCTGACCTTGAGCAACAGGTTGGTTAAGTTCCTTTGGGGATGTTATGATTGAATGTTTGATCAGTTTGGAAAGAAAGGCATTGTTGTTTCTGGAATAAATTTGGATATTTACATTGTTTTAAAGAAGTATTCAATATCACAAGATTATCTGGCTATTAGATCAGTCATGATGCCTTACGGGTTTATGGGGAAATTGGCATCAGTTATGATGTTACTTATTTCTTCTGGTTAATTTTGCAAAAATCTATCTGTGGATCTTTGCACTATTTCACTTCCTCCTTTTTTTGGTATTGGTAACACTTGGTATTTGTTGCACTGCTTTACAGATGTACATATTGAGGAGGCTTTCAATGGTTGCTATTCGAGCTGCATTAAACCTTCAACATGGTGGTTCCAGAGACTTTTATATATGTTCTCTGTCCTCAAGGTGTGTTCAGAAAAATGCTGTGTTTGTAGTACTAATTTCTTTTGTGCAAAAGTTATTGATTATTTATACCTTTCTTACTTGGTTTTTGTAGGACTGTTGTCTATAAAGGTCAGTTGAAACCTGATCAGTTGAAGGCTTACTATCATGCAGATATTGGCGATGAAAGGTTTACGAGCTACATGGCCCTGGTAATTATATTATCCATTCACTTCGCTTCTTTCTCCACTAACTCAATACTTCAAAACAGCATGGGACACCAGTAACTGAAGAGATACAAGGTTGAGGGATGACTTCTGAGGCATTGAGGTTTGAATGATCTCTTAAGTTCTTCCACTCCCTTGATAACCATTTGAAATTGGATGCTGGATTGGTCTAGGGTGAGTTGGTAAGAAACTTCATTGTCAAGTAAATCATCTTTGCCGAAACTTGCAGACCTCTTTATGATTGGTTGTGTGGGGATGAAACTTCTATTTACTGGTGGAAAGCAAATTTTGTTTGGTCTAGGCAGATTGGGCTCTTGTCTGGACCCCAGTTTTCTTCATGCTACTCTTAAACGATATCCCATTTTTTCTGATCAGAGCTGATGGAATTGTAACTGACAGTTGGTTTTTTGATTGTTGGTTTAGATACACTCCCGGTTTTCGACAAATACATTCCCTAGCTGGGATCGTGCTCAGCCAATGCGTATCTTGGGCCATAATGGGGAAATTAATACACTCAGAGGCAATGTAAACTGGTGTGTATCACAGAGTGGTCTATGGATTGCCGTTTCTTTTTTGTCATAACTTAATTTACTGTAACTGAACCAGTTGATTGATTTGCTGCCTTGCCATTTGGGTTTCTCCATGGTCATATGATTCATTCTTACATCACTCAGATGCTAATATTTGTTTACATTATTGAAAATAGTCCCGTTTGTCTAGCAGCTCTTGTGCTAATGTAATTCTGAAATAGAATGTAATATCCTATTTCCTTTCCTTTCTACAATTGTTGGACGTTTGCTGACTGACTTGATGTTTTCTATTTCCTTGAAAGGATGAAAGCACGAGAGGGTCTATTAAAGTGCAAGGAGATAGGGCTATCAAAGAGTGAATTGAAGAAGCTTCTTCCAATTGTGGATGCCAGTTCATCTGATTCAGGTTTAATAATATTAATTTTATATTGTATGTTTTCATGTCCATGCATGCCCACATACACAACTGCTAATCTTCACAGACATTCAAACCCACACGATATGCCTACATATATTCCTCTTTTTTCAAAAATTTGGATACCACTGATTTTTCTTTCTTCCTTTCTCCCTTTATTGTGGTTTCTTTAGGAGCTTTTGATGGTGTCCTTGAACTTCTGGTTCGGGCTGGTAGAAGTCTTCCTGAAGCAATTATGATGATGATCCCAGAAGCATGGCAAAATGATAAGAACATGGATCCTCATCGGAAGGCCTTGTATGAATACTTTTCTGCCCTAATGGAGCCTTGGGATGGGCCTGCTCTAATATCATGTAATTTCTTATGCTAATTCATTAACTTGAAAAATACAATTCCTGGAGTTTAGGCTGATGTAAAATTTTGCAGTTACTGATGGCCGCTACCTAGGAGCCACATTGGATCGTAATGGACTTCGTCCAGGTCGGTTTTACATAACGCACAGTGGACGTGTTATCATGGCCAGTGAAGTTGGTGTAGTGGACATAGCACCTGAAGATATTCTCAAGAAAGGAAGACTCAACCCTGGAATGATGCTTCTAGTGGATTTTGAAAAGCATGTTGTTGTGGATGACGAAGCCTTGAAGCAGCAGTATTCAATGGCAAGGCCCTATGGTGAATGGCTTAAAAGGCAAAAGATTGAACTCAAGGATATAGTTGATTCAGTTCAGGAATCAGATAGGGTTGCTCCTATGATAGCTGGTGCTCTGCATGTAAGTTCATTAATTTATGGTGATTAGATTTCTTCCCCACTAGTTTTGAGGCTTTTTTATCCATGGGCAAACATTGTTGATCTTTGAAATATTCTATTACTTAAGGTATCTAACAATGATAATAACATGGAGAACATGGGAGTTCACGGTCTATTGGCGCCATTGAAAGCTTTTGGGTATGTAAATCTATGTCCCAATTCACTTTAAATTTTATTTGTTGCCATCTTTAAAGATATTTTGAAACATGTTGCTTGTTGCTGTCCTTGTACAATGAAATTTTAAGGTGTTTTAATTCTGGTCTCCTTGTAGCTACACTGTTGAGGCCCTGGAGATGTTGCTGCTTCCCATGGCAAAAGATGGTACAGAGGCCCTTGGTTCAATGGGAAATGATACTCCACTGGCAGTTATGTCCAACCGGGAGAAACTCACTTTTGAATACTTCAAGCAGATGTTTGCTCAAGTAACAAACCCCCCAATTGATCCTATCCGAGAGAAGATAGTCACTTCCATGGAATGCATGATTGGTCCAGAAGGTGATCTTACAGAAACAACAGAAGAACAATGCAACCGTCTTTCTTTGAAAGGACCTCTATTATCAATAGAAGAAGTGGAAGCAGTTAAAAAGATGAACTACAGAAATTGGAGAAGTAAAGTTCTTGACATAACATATTTAAAAGAACATGGGAGAAAGGGATTGGAGGAGACCTTGGATAGGATTTGTGCTGAAGCAGATAAAGCAATAAAGGAAGGCTATACATTGTTGGTGCTTTCTGACAGAGGTATTGCATTAGTCCTAATTATTCAAATAAAAGTCGTCTTTCATGTGTCTCAGATGTGGGTTATTATGTTTCCTAGTACTCACTTCCCCTCCTCATCTTCTTGATTTTTTTACAATGTGCAGCTTTCTCGTCAGAGCGTGTTGCTGTAAGCTCCCTCTTGGCTGTTGGTGCTGTTCATCAGCATCTTGTTAAAAAGCTTGAGCGCACACGAGTGGGATTGATAATTGAATCTGCTGAACCACGTGAAGTGCACCATTTCTGTACTCTGGTTGGATTTGGTGCAGATGCTATTTGCCCGTACTTGGCCATAGAAGCCATTTGGAGATTGCAGGTTGATGGCAAGATTCCTGCAAAAGCTAGTGGTGAGTTCCACTCAAAGGATGAGCTGGTCAAGAAGTACTTCAAGGCAAGCAACTATGGAATGATGAAGGTTCTTGCAAAAATGGGGATATCAACCTTGGCTTCATACAAGGGTGCTCAGATTTTTGAAGCCCTTGGTCTTTCATCAGAAGTAATAGATAAGTGCTTTGCAGGAACTCCAAGCAGAGTTGAAGGTGCAACATTTGAGATGTTAGCCCGTGATACTCTTCATTTGCATGAGTTAGCATTTCCATCTCGAGCATTTCCTCCAGGAAGTGCAGAAGCTGTAGCACTGCCCAATCCAGGAGATTATCACTGGAGGAAAGGAGGTGAAGTTCACCTGAATGATCCTCTTGCCATAGCAAAGTTGCAAGAAGCTGCCAGGAGTAATAGTGTAGCTGCTTACAAGGAATATTCCAAACGCATTCAGGAATTGAACAAAACCTGCAATTTACGTGGGATTCTGAAATTTAAAGAGGCAGATGTAAAAATTCCATTGGATGAGGTGGAACCAGCTAGCGAGATTGTCAAACGGTTTTGTACTGGGGCTATGAGTTACGGATCCATATCTCTTGAGGCACACACAACTTTGGCTATTGCTATGAATAGAATTGGAGGGAAATCCAATACAGGTATATTCATATGCACCTAAGTGATTATTTCATGCTCTTTTCTATTCACAATACTTTGTTTTCTGTAAACTGAAGGCATTTTGTATTTTATTTTATCTTTTTCATAAGGTGAGGGAGGTGAGCAACCATCTCGTATGGAACCCCTTCCTGATGGTTCAATGAACCCAAAAAGAAGTGCCATCAAGCAGGTTGCAAGTGGGAGATTTGGAGTTTCGAGCTTCTACCTTTCCAATGCAGATGAGCTGCAGATAAAGATGGCTCAGGTACCAGTTATCATTGTAATTGGAATCTTCTGATATCTTTACATCAGTACCCACTCCCACTTACCCCTTCTTTCTATTGGGGTAAAAGATCCCCTTGTTTATTGTTTTATGTTTGTGGCAGATGATGCTGTGTCTGCAAATCACCTAAAGGTGCTTTTGCATCTTTAAATGCATTTGGCAATTGGCGAGATTAATTATTTCTTAGCTAAAATGTTCTGTGTGTTTTACAGGGTGCCAAGCCTGGTGAGGGAGGTGAACTTCCTGGCCATAAGGTTATTGGAGACATTGCTGTCACTAGAAATTCTACGGCTGGGGTGGGGCTCATCAGTCCGCCTCCGCATCATGATATCTATTCAATTGAGGACCTTGCACAATTAATTCATGATCTTAAGGTAGGTGTACGTGATGATTAGCCTGCTTATTTTTCTTTTGTGCCTGATGACAAGATACACAGCCTAAACCTTAAACTTTTCTATTTGTATGTGTGTTTGTCTGCCTGTGCATGTGTGTTTACACTGTTTTTTTATTTTTTTTTTCTTGGCCTTCTTTATTATTTATTTATTTTTCCCTTCTCAATTTGGCCTTTGTTTCCTATGGGGCAAAATCTAAGAAATCATTTTCCTTTGACACCTTTTCTTTGTTCAATTAGAATGCCAATCCATCAGCCCGAGTTAGTGTTAAGCTGGTCTCTGAAGCTGGTGTGGGAGTAATAGCCAGTGGGGTTGTCAAGGGGCATGCTGATCATGTCTTAATATCTGGTCATGATGGGGGTACAGGAGCTTCACGATGGACAGGCATAAAAAATGCCGGTCTACCATGGGAACTTGGTTTGGCTGAGACCCATCAAACCCTAGTTGCTAATGATCTTCGTGGTCGCATGGTTCTGCAGACAGATGGCCAACTGAAAACAGGAAAAGATGTGGCAATTGCTGCACTTCTTGGTGCTGAAGAGTTTGGCTTCAGTACTGCCCCACTGATAACTCTTGGCTGCATCATGATGAGAAAATGCCACAAAAACACCTGTCCTGTTGGTATTGCTACTCAAGATCCAGTTCTCCGTGAAAAATTTGCAGGAGAACCTGAACATGTGATTAACTTTTTCTTTATACTAGCTGAGGAAGTGAGGGAAATAATGTCTCAGCTTGGTTTCCGCACTCTTAATGAAATGGTGGGTCGGTCAGACATGCTTGAAGTTGATAGTGAAGTTGTTAAGAACAATGAGAAGTTGAAAAACATTGATCTCTCCCTGTTGCTCAGACCTGCTGCTGACATTCGACCAGAAGCTGCTCAGTATTGCATCCAGAAACAGGATCATGGCTTGGACATGGCATTGGATCAAAAGCTCATTGAGCTATCCAGTGCAGCTCTAGAGAAAGGTCTTCCAGTGTACATTGAAACACCTATATTCAATGTGAACCGTGCAGTTGGAACAATGCTTAGTCATGAAGTAACTAAGCATTACCACCTGGCTGGGCTTGCTAAAGATACCATCCATATCAAACTCAAGGGAAGTGCTGGTCAGAGCCTTGGAGCTTTCCTCTGCCCTGGCATTTTATTGGAGCTTGAAGGTGATAGCAATGACTACGTGGGAAAAGGTTTATCAGGTGGAAAAATTGTTGTATATCCTCCAAGGGAAAGTCGGTTTGATCCAAAAGAAAACATAGTAATTGGTAATGTTGCTTTGTATGGAGCCACCAGTGGGGAGGCATACTTCAATGGAATGGCAGCAGAGAGATTCTGTGTCCGTAATTCAGGGGCAAAAGCAGTCGTTGAAGGTGTTGGTGATCATGGTTGTGAGTACATGACAGGTGGGACTGTGGTTGTTCTTGGAAAGACTGGCAGAAACTTTGCTGCTGGTATGAGTGGTGGTGTTGCATATGTTCTTGATGTAGATGGGAAATTCCATTCACGATGCAATCCTGAGCTTGTAGATCTTGATAAAGTTGAAGAAGATGATGATATAATGATGCTCAGAATGATGATACAGCAACATCAACGTTACACAGACAGCCAGTTAGCCAAAGAAGTACTTGCCAACTTTGAGAATCTTCTGCCCAAATTTATAAAAGTCTTTCCTAGGGATTACAAACGTGTTCTTGCAAAAATGAGAGAAGAAGAAACCTCTAGAGAGGCTGCTGAAGCTGCTGAGGAGGAGGATGAAAAAGAGTTGATGGAAAAAGATGCTTTTGAAGAGCTGAAGAAGTTGGCAGCTGCTTCCCTGAACAACAAATCCAGTGAGGTATGTATGGTTTCTGACCAATACATTTTTTATTTTCATAAAAAATTTATAATCTTAATATGCAGGTTGAAATTGATCTGCCTTGTCCTTTTACTACTTTTACCATTTCTGCATTTTATTTAATGTTCAAAGTTTCCAAAATAGTTATGGAAAGAAGGCCTGCTTATTTATGCTCATGGCATACTTCTTATGTTGAAGTCTTATGGTTGGTAAGGATCACCGGTCCTTGCTTTCCACTTCTTACTTCCTGTCAAACTTACTTTTTCTAGGGTTATTCTGAATATAATTTTTGGAAAAGAAGTTCTCTACATTGTGTTGTTGGGGATTTAAAAATTGAAGCTTTATTTTGTAATCCTGATTGTTGCTTTGGTAGGGTTTCAGTAACCTGCTAATTTTAGGTGGAAGTCTTAATCATTAGTATAGGTTTTAGACAGAAATGTATCTAGGTAATCAGAAGACTATTGTGTGTTGAAGTTTCCAACATGCAACTTAATCAGAAGAATGCTAAGGTATTTTATGTTATTCATAGGATGCTGAACAATTGAAGAGACCAACCCGAGTGTCTGATGCTGTGAAACATCGAGGTTTTATTGCTTATGACCGTGAAAGTATCCAATATAGGGATCCTAATGCTCGGGTGAATGACTGGAAGGAAGTTATGGAGGAATCAAAACCTGGGCCTCTTTTGAAGACCCAGTCTGCTCGCTGCATGGACTGTGGGACTCCTTTTTGCCACCAGGTATTACTAATTCATTTTCCTTTTATTTTTTATTTTTTTTATTTTTTATTTTTTATGTTGCTCTCCACATTTTAAGATACTAATTACTTGTTACTAAATGCAGGAGCACTCTGGATGCCCTCTTGGAAACAAAATACCTGAATTCAATGAGCTAGTGTACCAGAATAGATGGCATGAAGCATTGGATCGTCTTCTAGAGACAAATAACTTCCCAGAGTTCACGGGGCGAGTGTGCCCTGCACCTTGTGAAGGTTCTTGTGTCCTTGGTATTATTGAGAATCCTGTATCCATCAAAAGCATTGAATGTGCTATCATTGACAAGGCTTTTGAAGAAGGGTGGATGGTACCACGGCCTCCTGTCAAGAGAACAGGGTAATGCCTATCAGCTTTTAAAAAATTCAATTTAATTTTTTTTTTTCTAACTTCATAAATGTTTTCCCTTGGTGGGTGTCACCTTTGGAAAATAAATTCCTTGATTAAGAGTTTAATGGAAATAGCTTTGCTTCATGAAATAAGATTGCCGTACCTTGGGGTTTAAATATCACTTAACAGAATCATTTCATATGTTTGTGATTGCAGGAAAAGGGTTGCTGTTGTTGGAAGTGGCCCAGCTGGTTTAGCAGCTGCTGATCAACTAAATAGAATGGGTCACTCTGTGACTGTGTATGAGCGTGCAGATAGAATTGGAGGGCTTATGATCTATGGAGTTCCCAACATGAAGGCTGACAAGGTGGATGTAGTTCAGCGGAGGGTCAACCTTATGGCTGAAGAGGGAATTGAGTTTGTTGTCAACGCTAATGTTGGAGTTGATCCTTCATACTCCCTTGAAAGGTTACGAGAGGAAAATGATGCCCTTGTTTTGGCTGTAGGAGCCACAAAACCAAGGTAAGAAATTATCATTTTTGATAAAAATGTTTAATTGCTAAGAATATGACTATACATTTTTAAAGAATTGTATAAGCTAAAAAGAGACTAATGACAAGTTAATGTTTAAAAATCCGTTGTAATGTGAAATTTGGCTAATGCAATGTTTTATTTATTTGATTCAGGGACCTCCCTGTACCTGGACGTGAGTTATCTGGTGTCCATTTTGCAATGGAGTTCCTTCATGCAAACACCAAAAGCTTGCTTGATGGCAACCTGGACGATGGTAATTACATATCTGCGAAGGGCAAGAAAGTGGTGGTCATTGGTGGCGGGGATACTGGAACAGATTGCATAGGGACATCAATCCGACATGGATGTAGTAGCATTGTAAATTTAGAGCTTCTTCCTCAGCCTCCACAAACTAGGGCTCCTGGCAATCCTTGGCCACAGGTTTGAGAACTAGCTCCTTTTTTTTTTTTTCCTGATGTGGTCATGTTTGAGTAAATGTTTTAACTCTTTTAGTTTCCAATATGTCAAAGGAAATAGAATGTATATGGCACTGCACTATTAACCATGATAAAGTCCTTTATCTTTCTCTGATTTGAGTAATAATTTTTTTACCCAACTGCTATGACTATTTATTTGTCTCGGCAGTTGGCTATACTTAATTGTGGAAGTTTTGTCAGTACATTAAATTGTAAACGGGATTAAATAAGTTAAAAAATCGTTCCATTGCATATGGTTGTTTATATTTCTCTTCTGACTCATTCCCTCATGTTCTTTGTTGCAGTGGCCTCGTATATTCCGAGTAGATTATGGGCATCAGGAAGCTGCTGCAAAATTTGGTAAAGACCCAAGATCTTATGAGGTTTTGACAAAGCGGTTTGTGGGTGATGAGAACGGGGTCGTGAAAGGACTTGAGGTTGTAAAAGTGAAGTGGGACAAAGATGCCAGTGGCAAGTTTCAATTCAAGGAAGTTGAGGGCTCTGAGGAAATAATTGAGGCTGACCTGGTCTTCCTAGCTATGGGTTTCCTTGGTCCAGAGTCGGTCAGTATCTGATTGCATCTTCTTTTATTATTCTGACTGTCCAGTTTAATTTGTCCTATAGAGTTAATACTTTCTCTAGGCAGCTTATTTAAGAGTAATGATCTTTTAGTCAGTATGTTCGTATCTAAGTCATTGCATGAGAGCATCGTTCACCAGTTATGCTCTTTTGTTTTTAACAGACGGTGGCAGAGAAGTTGGGAGTGGAGCGTGACAACCGTTCAAACTTCAAGGCAGATTATGGCCGCTTCTCAACCAGTGTAGAAGGAATTTTTGCAGCTGGGGATTGTCGGCGGGGTCAGTCACTGGTTGTCTGGGCAATCTCAGAAGGACGACAGGCTGCTGCACAGGTAGACAAATACCTAACTTCAGTTCTCAGCCAAGATGATCAGGTCAAAAGACCCCAAGATGTTATGCAGAGGCAGCAAACTGTCATGACATAGGTGAATTGAATTTTCTTTCCTTCCCCACCATAGTACTTCCGATACAGATTTGAGAGATTGTTTCAAATTCAGTGAAACCTGGGTAATGGTGAAGGCAATTAAGCATTTGCATTTGCATTTGCGTGGATAACCGCCCATAAGGATGGGTAATGGCCGGGACTTGGGAAGTTGGCAATGGAAGTGAATGAATTGGTGGAGCAGTGTAAGCATGGATTTGGTAATAAGGTTGAGCAGGAACAGTAGGTGCCTGTATTTGGACTGGTGTAGATTTCAAGCTCTTAGGGTTTTTCATTTTTGGGGGGTAAATCTATAGTTTTGGCCTGGTTTGTTGAAGGGTTAGGGGTTAAATCTATAGTTTTACTTGGTTTGTTCAAGTGTTACCGCCATGTCTGTGTTAAAAAGGAATAATGTACAGTATTGTTTCTTAATCTTTTGATCGGGAAATATATGGTGCTTTTTTCGCTAAATATTTTTCAACCAGCTTTGAAGAGTTATTATTACTATTATTTTTGGTATACTTATTATATAAAAAGGGATGATCTTCTCTTATTTTTAAATTTTTTCTCATTTAATCTAAAACTTTAACTTAAAATTTAAAATTTTAAAGTATTAAGATTGAGTTAATGAAAATTATATTTTTGATTAATTTAAACTAAATATTAAAATTTAAGAATGAATTATTAGAGCCAAATATCTTTCTTATTTGATCATAGAGCCAAATTTCTTAAATGATGGAATGCAGGCGGCATAGCCGAGAACACTATACGCTTGACGAGTTGACGTTAAGGGGGAGGTGGGGGGGTGCAAAAAATCCGTAACTCAAAAAAAATGTGAAAATTAATAAAATTGTTCCTGCCAGCCAAAGTTTGATTGAGTTATGAGCTTGTTTAATTAAAAATTAAATTGAATTAATTATAAATGGTGTGAGTTTTTGTTATTAAGTCAAATAATTTAAAAAAAACCAATATTTTAGGTGAAAACTAAAAATTTTATATCAAAAATTTTTTATATAAAGTTTTTAATAATTTTTAAATTTTTTAGGTTATTTAATCACTTTTTATTAAATTACTTATTTATTTAAATAATTTTAATTTTTTTAGTGATTGAAATTAATAAAATAATAAATAAAAATTTTAAAAAATACTAAAAAAATATAAAAATAACTTTTTAGTTAAAATCAAAACTAATCTTAATAGTTACTCTAAAAAATGTAACCAAAACTAATAAAATTTGTATTTTTTTAATTTAGTTAATAATTATTAAAATTAAAAACCTAAAACTTTAATTAACAGATAATTTAATTTTAATTACAATCAAAACCAAACCGTAACCACCCTTAAAATTGTTCATTTCACGCCAATACCACATTATTCTGCCCAGAGTGTTCTGAATCCATAAAATCCTTGCATGTTCTTATTATTTCTTGCACAAACAAACATTTCCACATTACATGGTCTGGTTGCATATTCATGAAGCTTCTCAGCTGAAACCTCAGAGGCAGCCACCCAACTGCAAAACGCAATAAGGACGTCAAATTAAACTTTTATCTTAATCTAGGTAACTAGATTTCGAGACTGGTGATTCTTAAACATGAAGCATTTCCCAGCAGAAAATTTTTTTTGATTCCCTGACACAAACTCTGGGGAATTTGCTTGCAGGAATGAATAACTAGAATAGTACTCAAAGCCACCAACCATTGACAAGCAAAAGATGAAAGATCCTTGAAAGCTCACCATAACAGCCTCTATCTCTTTCTCTGTGACGGGTGTACGTTTTGGTTGGAGTGATGCTTTGCCTCCCACATCAGTGTTTGTGGGTGCTGCAGGAACATCTGATGATCTTGAGATGAAAGAGCGAAAAATGTCCCCATCTTTAGATGCTGACTGAGTTTGGGAAGTTGAACCTGAACAACAAAAGCTTAGATCAACTTGGAACATGAAAACGTAATACAAGTAGTCAAATTAGCAGAGCTATGGAGAATAAAATGAAACTGAGACGATATGTTTTCCAAGAGAAGATATGTTTCACCCTTTAAACAACTTGGCACAACTGCTTAATTTAATGAAACAGAAAAACAAGTGTATACATTTTTCCTTTGTTTTTCATCTATTCTTACGTTTTCGTTTCCTAATTTCTCAAATTGAAACTTCTAGACACCATGAAGAAAACTGAGACATTTAATCATATTATAAAAAAACATACCAGGAACAATTTGTACCTATGAAATCACTTTTGCTTTCACAGCAGAGTCACATGCAGAATAATACTTTAGTGAGCAGATGCCTAAACATGAGGTATTGAACTAATGCCACAAGACTGGCTTTTCCAAAGTAGCTTAGTAGGGCCATCAAAAGTCCCTACTATTCCTGCATGAGTGTCTTATCCGGTTTTCTTTGTTTATTGGAACTGTCTTTGGGTTGAATCCAGATTCCAGTCCATTTCTCAGCCATCCAGTCCAACTATTGCCATATCATAGTATACAATGCAAAAAACCATTTCATATCTCATTACTCCATTAGACTCAACCAAATTAAGCATATCCCATTACTCCATTAGACTCAACCGAATTAAGCCTCATTCATCCCAAAAGTGACATTTCTTATTGGCAAAGAAAGTGCTTAGAATTGCAGGAATTTCAACCCCTGACTTAGTCCCTTAAATCAAGGTCTTGAAAATAGTGAAATACAAACTTCACTAAGCTCTTGTTGGTTCATCCTAGGAGTAACAAATAATAAATAAAACTCTCAGAATAGAATTAAAAATGGTAAGGACTAATTACACTTGTTAGGTTACTTGGGTAATGTGGCATAAGAAAAGATCAGATGCTTTAACTCCTTTCCCCTGTAATCTTCCCCAACCTTCATTTAGGAGTACACGATCTTTTCTCTTCCTCCTCAGACACGTTTAATATGAATATGAAAAGGTCTGCAAAATGATTTTCAGGACTTCAAAGTTTAAAAAGATTTGGCCTCTTTCAGGTCAGGGTTTAATCACTATTCTCTTTAAGATGCTATGACGTTTCTTCCTCTTTCTCAACCTCCTATTTTTCTCTTTTAGCACTTAAAATCATCAATTTACCTTTCTATGTCACTCTCCTCCAGTTTTGGTTACTATGTTGACTGTAATCTCCATGTATGATCTTGACAACCATCAAACTATGCCTTATCTTCGTTTTACCCACAATCTGCTATTTTCCTTTCTTGTTTTCCTCTAATTCCAGCTACCATCTAAGAGAGAACTCAGAGAAGGGTAGAAGAAGAAACGTAGTAGGAAAAACAAGAGATAAACTGTGATACTAAACACATGGTACCTAATCAAATTTTGGGTTCTGTTATATACAGTATAAACAACCATCAAGGTTTATCTTTTAACCGCAGCAAAGAGGGCTTTAATTTGCTCCATTGGTATCTTCATTAGAAGTACAACATGTTAAATTAATCAACTTTTAATTAAAAAGCCAATCAATTCTCCATAACATCACATTAGGGATGACAGAACAATCCAATTACTAATTTAGAAAGCAGATGTGAGAAAGAAACTCAAACCATAGAATTGTACCAGAATTTGAGATTCTAAAAAAAAATCTCTAACTCAGTTGGGAAGTATGAGTAACATAAATTCCACAAATAAGAGAACATGTCTAAGTGTAGCAAAATTTTAATAGAAAACTGAAAATTATAAGAAGGGGAAGGAAGAGGAAGACCTGAGCTTGAGGATTTTGGGTGCCTTTCTGGAAATTTAATGCGTGGAATTCTCTTCAATACCTGCTGCCCTCCTCCCATCTCTCTGCTTGACTCTCTCCTTCCCTGCTTTACTTGTGTTTATCCTAGAAGTTTCAAAGATACCTCTTTTTCAACTTTTTGTACGGTGGACTAATCCCGTTTATTTATACATTATCCATTGCCTAATACAATAATAATCTTGATAAATTGCAAGATAAAAGCATTGGCCTGGTAGGTCCAATTACAAATCAAATTTATCCTAAAACCATCCAAAGGTTAAGATGCAATCAAACATGTGCTTCTCACAGTCAGTGTTTGGTCATTGTCTAGGGTCCCTTCACTGCTTGAGACCACATGGTAGCTTTTAATCCAAAAGAGGGTTGTAGATTTTTCTTTCTAGCAAAATAGAGAAAGGTACCGTATAGAAGGGTGGTGCACTAGTTGGTCATAGGGCTGATAATTTACCGCAGCACCGAATTTTCTTTAAAGGCAAAGGAATGAAAGAGAGTTTTTCAGCTCTGGAGAAACTTCTTGTTATTTTTAATTTGTAAGATGTTTTATTTTTATTAATTATAGTTTAATTTTTTGAAAAAGTTAATAATAACATAATTTATCATGAATTTTTTAATCTTAACTTATTGTTAATGAAATATTTAAAAAAATAAATAATAAATTATAGGTGAGATGAAAATACTTAATAGTTATATATAAAAAATTAAAAGTAACAACACCTGCTAATTTAAGTTAAAAGAATTTGATTTATTTTTAAAAAAA